TGCGTTTTAAGGAGATACAGAGTAGCCAAGCAGGGCAATATCCCCTGCAGTTCGTGAATGGAATTCTCTCTCCTCCCCAAACATCACTCCAAACTGGAGAATGGGCTACTCTCCAGGGTCCTGGGTAGGACAGCGCCAGACACCCAGACGCCCTCGCTCTGCGCTCCCAGGCGCCCGGTGCCCTCCGCCCAGCTCTGCGCTACCGCGGCCACAGCATCCAGCAGCACGCCGGCTGCACCGGGGAGACAGCAGGAGAACAACTCCGGACCCCAGCCAGACCTACAGCCCGAGCGGCTGGCCCGGCCCTGCCCGGAGCCCACCTGACTCCTGGCGGCCCAGCGCTGGGGACAAAAGCAGCAATAGCAGCCACAGGCAGAGCGGTGAGCACGTCCATCCGCACATGGCTAGTAGACCCACCGCGGATTCCCGGCAGCTGCGCCGGCGGAAGCGAGGCCCCGCACAAAGATGGCCGTAGGCGCCGCACGACGTGGGCAGCGGGCCGCCCCCGACAAAGATGACCTAGGGCGCCGCAGGGCGTAAGCTGCCGGCCGCCCCGCACAAAGATGGCGTCTTCGGGCTCTCTTTCTCGCTCCCCGCCTTCCCGCCTGCAGTAGAAAAAATAAGCCGAGTTTTATGAAGGCGGGGTACCGGTACTTGTGCTTGTTATGTTTAAAGCCAAGCTACATAGTTGCTTCATGTCGAAGTGTAGTTTGAAGGGTTCATACTTCCTCATTCTTGTCTTCTCTCTTTGGTGGGGTGAAATAAAATCCGAGCACACGAGGGAATAAATGGGCCAGCTCACTAACTTCCTTGTCACCCCTAAGAAAATACGGTTTTTATTGGTTATGATTATTATTATTATTGGTTATTAATAATGGTTGTTATTAAAAACATACTATTTTCTGCAGCCAGAAAAATGAAACTTAACCACAGCTTCACAGTTAGTGGCACAACCAAGGCTTGGGATAGAGAGGCTGGGCTAGATCATTCTTTCCACATCAAACTGCTTATTAGATAGCATAGATTTGTTGAGCACTTGAATGTGTACAGCACCGTTAGACCCCAAGGAGGTTGCAAAACAGTATATAGCACAGGCTTACCAGTAATAAAAATTCATAACAGTTGCAGTGACTTAGATATAATAAATCAATGGGCAATATAATCCTGGACAGTATACGTACATAGTAAAATATAGCATATGGCATATCCATAAGGTTTTCATGATAAACAGAGAAAATATTGAAGTTGTCAAGGATTTTCTTTTACTTGGATCCACAATCAAAGCCCATGGAAGCGGCAGTCTAGAAATCAAATGACGTATTGCATTGGGCAAATCAGCTGCAAGAGACCTCTTTAAATGTTAAAAAACAAAGATGTCACCTTGAGGACAAAGGTGCACCAGACCCAAGCCATGGTATTTTCAATCGTCTCATGTGCATGCGAAACCTGGACAATGAATAGAAGACCAAAAAAGAAGTGATGCATTTGAATTATGGTGTTGGTGAAGAATATTGAATAAACCATGAACTGCCAGAAGAACTCTGTGTATTCCTTCCATCTTCTTTTGATGCTTCCTGCGTCATTTAATATTTTCCCCATAGAATCCTGCAATACTGCAACTGGAGGCTTGAATTCTTTCTTCAGTTCTTTCAGCTTGAGAAATGTCAAGCGTGTTCTCCTCTCTTGGTTTTCTAACTCCAAGTCTTTGCACACTTCATTATAATACTTTATTTTGTCTTCTTTAGCGCCCTTTGAAATTTTCTGTTCAGCTCTTTTCCTTCATTATTTCTTCCATTAGCTTTAGCTACTCGACGTTCAAGAGCAAGTTACAGAGTCTCTTCTGACATCCATTTTGGTCTTTTCTTTCTTTCCTGTCTTTTTAATGACCTTTTGCTTTCTTCATGTATGATGTCATTGATGTAATTCCACAAGTTGTCTGGTCTTTGGTCAGTAGTATTCAATGCTTCAAATCTATTTTTGAGGTGCTGTCTAAGTTCAGGTAGGATATACTCGAAGTCATACTTTGGCTTTCGTGGACTTGTTTTACTTTTCTTCAGCTTCAACTTGAACTTGCATATAAGCAATTGACAGTCTGTTCTGAAGTTGGCCCATGGCCTGGTTCTGACTGATGATATTGAGCTTTTCCATCATCTCTCTCCACAGATGCAGTGAATTTGATTCCAGTGTATTCCATCTGGCAAGGTCTAAGTATATAGTCGCCATTTAAGTTGTTGAAAAAAGGTATTTGCAATGAATAAGTCGTTAGCCTCACAAAAGTATATCATGCAATCTCCAGCATCTTTTCTATCACCAAGGTCATATTTTCCAACTACTGTTCCTTTCTCTTTCTTTCCAACTTTTGCATTCCAATCACCAATAATTATCAATGCATCTTGATTGCACGTTTGATCAATTTCAGACTGCAGAAGTTGGTAAAAATTTTCAACTTCTTCATCTTGGCCTTAGTGGTTGGTGCGTTAAAGGAAAACACAGAGTCACTGTACCAAAAAGAATTGGTCGACGTTCAGCCATTTCAGGACGTAGCATATGATCAAGAACCGATGATAGTGAAGGAAGAAGTCCAAGTTGCACTGAAGGCATTGGCTAAAAACAAGTCTCCAGGAATTGACAGAATACCAACTGAGATATTTCAACAAATGGATGCAGCGCTGGAAGTGCACACTCATCTATGCCAAGAAATTTGTCCAACCGACTGGAAGAAATCCATGTTTGTGCCCATTCCAAAGAAAAGGGATCCAACGGATTGTGGAAATTATGGAATAATATCATTAATATCACACACAAGTAAAATTCTGCTAAAGATCATTCAAAAGTGGTTGCAGCAGTACATCAACAGAGAACTGTCAGAAATTCAAGCTGGATTCAGAAGAGGGCAGGGAATGAGGGATATCATTGCTGATGTCAGATGTGTCTTGGGTAAAAGCAGAGAATATTAGAAAGATGTTTACCTGTGTTTTATTGACTATGCAAAGGCATTTACCTGTGTGGATCATAACAAATTATGGATAACATTGCAAAGAATGGGAATTCCAAAATACTTAATTGTGCTCGTGAGGAACCAGTACATAGAACAAGGGGCAGTCGTTCAAACAGAACAAGGGGATGCTGTGTGGTTTAAAATCAGGGAAGGTGTGTGTCAGGGTTGTATCCTTTCACCATACTTATTCAATCGTATGTTGAACAAATAATCCAAGAAGGCGCACAACATGAAGAAGAACAGGGCATCAAGGTTGGAGGAAAACTCATTAACAGCCTGCAACATGCTGATGACATAACCTTACTTGCTGAAAGTGAAGAGGACTTGAAGCACTTACTGATGAAGACCAAAGACTACAGCCTTCAGCATGGATTACACCTCAACATAAAGAAAACAAAATTTTTCACAACTGGACCAATAAACAACATCATGATAAATGGAGAAAACACTGAAGTTGTCAAGGATTTTACTTGGATACACAATCAATGCCCATAGAAGTAGCAGTCAAGAAATCAAATGATGCATTCCATTGCTTTGGGCAAATCTGCTGCAAAAGACCTCTTTAAAGTGTTAAAAAGCAAAGTTGTCACTTCAAGGGCTAAGGTGCACGGACCCAAGGTATGGTGTTTTCAATCGCCTCATATGCATACAAAAGCTAGACAATGAAAAAGGAAGACCCAAGAAGAATTGATGCCTTTGAATTACGGTCTACATACCATGGGCTACCAGAAGAACGAACAAATCTATCTTAGAAGAAGTACAGCCAGAATGCCCCTTAGAAGGGAGGATGGTGAGACTTTGTTTCACGTACTTTGGACATGCTACCAGGAGGGACCAGTCCCTGGAGAAGGACACCGTGCTTGGTAAAGTAGAAGGTCAGTGAAATAGAGAAAGACCCTCAATGAGATGGACTGACACAGTGGCTGCAATAATGGACTCAACCATAGCAATGATTGTGAGGATGGTGCAGGATTGGGCAGTGTTTTGTTCTGTTGTACATAGGGTCGCTATGAGCCAGAACCGACTGACGACACCTAACAACAACATAGTATATAGTGTATATATGTATCTCTGTGGGTGTAAACAGTTTACCGTCTACTACTAACCTAAAGGCTGATGGTTTGAACCTACCCATCAGTGCTGCAGACGAATGGCCTGATGATCTGCTTCTGTAAAGATTACAGCCAAGAAAATGCTATGGAGCAGTTCTCCGTAACACATGGGGCTTCCATGAGTCAGAATCAACTCCATGGCAATGGGTTTGAGGTTTTTTTTTGGTGGGGGGGGGGATTATATACCTGAAGGAGCCCTGGTGGCACAGTGGTTAAAGCGATTGGCTGCTAACCGAAAGGTTGGCGGTTCCAATCCACCAGCCACCCAATGGGAGAAAAATGTGGCAGTCTGCTCCCATAAAGATTTACAGCCTTGGAAACTCCATGGGGCAATTCTACTCTGTACTATAGGGTTGGTATGCATCGGAATTGACACAATGGCAGTGGGTTTTGGTTTGGTTATATACCTATATAAAGTGCCCCTGGGTCGCTCAAACCGAGAGCTTGTCTATGACTGATTCTGAGTCCACCACAGGCACCCTTGAATAAAGGCTGGTGATCTATTCTGAAAAGATCAGCCATTGAAATTCCTATGGAGCATGATTCTACTCTGACACACACACAGGATTGCTATGAGTCAGAATTAACTTGATGGCAACTTATTATATATCCATATATAAATACAGAGGCCTGGTGGCATAGTGGTTAAGAGGTTAAAAGGTTGGCAGTTCAAATCCACCAGCCATTCCCTGGAAACCCTATGGGGCAGTCCTACTCTGTCCTATAGGGTCATGATGAGTCAGAATTGACTCAACAGCAATGGGTTTGGTTTTGGTTTTATATATAAATATATCTAAGAAAACAGAGGTATACATAGTAATCATAGAACTATTTATCCATTGTCTAAAATGTACATAAAAACGTCCTAGGCTCTGTGGAAGATACATGGAAGTACAAGATGTGATCTGTGCCCTTGGGGAGTTTAGAACTAGTTGGGAAGACAAATACGCTACCTGAGAGATAATATAAGGCAACATGTAAGTGCTGCTGGTTTCAGTGGAGGGAGAGATCAACATGAAATGGAGATTGGAGAAAGAAGTGTTTCCAGGCTGAAGAAAAGGAAATGTTGCAAATAAGGAATATTGTGCTGGAGAGACTGAAAAAGGAGGAGCCAAAATTTGCAGAAGGTGAAGGTGGAAAGTAAGAGTACATTGAGGAACCTAGCTTGATTGGAGGATGTATGTTGAAGAATGGTGGAAGATACAGCTGATTAGCTAGGGATGGACCCTATCAGTTAGAGGGGGCATTTGGACTATACCCCAAGACGGTGGTGTTATGGATTGAATTGTGTCCCCAAAAAATGTGTGTCACCTTGGCTTGGCCATGATCCCGGTATTATGTGGTTGT